ACGTCTCTGGAACGACTCGCCTCTGAAATAAGACGCAATAACGTAGACGCCGCTGACAATGCCACCTCTGAGAGCATGCCTCAAGTAAACGTGAAGGAGCTTGACGCAGCGCTCCTGGAAATGAACAGCGAAGCAAACGGTCTGCAACGATCCTTTTCGGATCTGTTGCATCCTAATGCATCCAATGGTAGAGGAGTCTCAGTGATTGCGAGACAGAATTATGTGCCAGACGCATGATGCACAGGATGGTGGGTCTGAAGACGAGATCCGCTTTAAACAGCGCGATGTGTTCATTTGGTCGTGACACTTCCGTGAGAGCGCGTAGTGGGGCAAAATCTAGTGCCAGCCTGCCTCTATCAGTCGGCGAGCGCCTGGTACATCCAGAAGGCAGCCTATGTCGCCAGTGGCCGACCTAGTTTTTTTTTTTTTTACCTGACGGGTCAGGATAAAACCGTTACATCACTCGAGAGTAAAATATGCGTTAATCCACCCGAGGCAACGTGCTCGGGATGTAATCATTTATAATATCGGAAATATTCGTTCTCGTTGCAGACGACGCAGTCGACCACCTGCTGTACCGAGAGTACGGAGCTGTGTTCCCAGTCATCCCCAGAGCCTGGCCGCACTTTCCAGATGGCACACTCTACGTCGAGAATGAGGCGGTTGTCAAGTTCAAAGAGCTGACCTCCGCGGTCTGCCAACTTTTGATCTGGGGGGCATATTTTACCATTTCGCCCAACTCTACACAAGGCCCTGCATCAGTATCACTGGGTACCTCATCTGCGTAAAGGTATTACACATAACACCAATCCCCCAAAGAAGTAGCCGCGGATGGCGCAGTATGTATAGTAGGGTTGTTAAAAAAAAAAACGATTTTTGGAAAAGTATATGGGCTCATGGCTCATGTGGTGCGATTCTCGTTTCTGAGTTCAACGATACCCCTTTCAACGAAGACAAATGACCTTTAGGGGTTCCTCAAACGGCTTGAAGTAAAGCTTGCAGCGCTCGGCCGCAGGCCAGAGTCAAAAGGGCAATAAGTACAGTACCGGCGGCGGTAAGCGCCGAACGATCTGGCTAGTTTGTAGGGAGGTTAGTGTTTAGGTAGGAAGGCGAGAGCATACGACTCTCCGGACCCTGATGCGCCTGATGATCCTCAGTTCATGGAATATCATTAGCCGCTTGGCTCTGTTTCTGGGTATGTACGTGGACGGCAGCGCTAACAAGGTATGAGTACTTCTCGTCATCTGGGCCACCTCGAGCTGGTTCATTCCCAGCCGAGCTGGTTCATTCCACAGCCGACCTCGTCCTGGCCCTTAGGCGGTTCTTCGCGCTTCGTAGAACACCTGTGCTGATCTACAGCGATAACGCGAGGACCTTTCGCGCGCTGCTGGGTCAGCTCCCAAGGTCACCTGGCGGTTCATCCCTGAATCGGCCCCATGGTGGGGAGGCTTCTGGGAGCGCATGGTCGGTGTGACGAAGGTGGCTCTGCGTGCATCGTTGCATCTCTGTAATCTCTCCTTTGAACAACTGTTTGTCGTTCTTTATGAGTTGGCGTTTTTTGTCAATCTGCGCCCCCTCACCCAGGGTGATGGGGAGGACCTGCACACGCCTGCCCACCTCCTATTCGGTGTGACCACAATCGGTGGTGTTATGTGCCCGACTCTGACCGAGTCTCCACTCAGGCACCTCCTCTTGAGAAGGTACGCCGAGAAGAACAGCCACTCGGAATCGTTCCGAGCGCACAGCGTCGGCCCGCCACGGAACATGAGGGCCGCTTTCACCTGCCGGAGACCGGCGAGGTAGCGGTCCTGATGCCAGAAGAGTCGCAAGGCGTTCACGACATCGTTCAGCACCACCGAGACGGTCGGGTGGATCGCATTAAGAACCTGCTGACAGCATTTACAATTTGCACTTTAGTCATCACGGAGAAGTGGGGGTTGGAAGCAGAAAAACAGGAGTATTTCGGAAGCCAACAAGATAATGATGATCCTTCTCCTTCAGATGATGACAACTATGGAAAAGGGTGCAGAGCCAAGAAATATAGGAAGCTGGATCATTGAGCTCTACCTACACAAACAAAAGTAGGTATATTGATAACATATTCTTACAGCAAGATTGATAGCACGAACAGCATTGCTAGCATAGCATAACAAGCCTTGCTATGCTAGGCTTGTTATGCTATGCTAGCCTAGCATAGCAAGGCTAGCATAGGCTAGCCTAATAACAAGCCTTTTGGCAGCATAACACGCATAAAACATGTGGCGTAACGAATTACAATTATTTCCGTTATGGCGACCAGCGGCTGCGGCTAATTTGTGGCGTCACCCGTCCAAATGTTCACGGTACGAAGATCGTGCTATCATGTGGAGGGAGCTCCATTTCCTTCTCCTGGAACCGCTTAGAGCGTTTTTACAAATGCTGGAGAAACAAACCAAATTGACACCACTTCACTCATTCTCAAGTGGCGTCCGTTGATCTCCAACGGTTTGAGAAGGCCTACTCAGAATGGGCAAACATGGAGCTCGAGCAGCAAACGATGATGGGTACGGACTTTATGTCATGCTATTTGCGAAGCATGTGGGCAAGAACTGGCCTGTGTTCGTGTTGACGGCAACTTCAAGCTGTCCCGCTATCCGTCATAGGACGACGACGAAAGGTGGGTGTCTGCTAGTCCGTGTATGTGTGCGTGTAAAAACTAGATAGATACGAGGAGGGTGGAAGGCGTGGGGATGGTAAATCCTGAGGCCTGCGCGCTAAGGCCAGGCTGGGAGCCAATATCGCTCTGCCAAAGTACGCCGCGTGGTCAAAGGAGACTCGTCACTGGCTGGTGTCTTTGGGGCTCGGTCACAGGGCCGCTCCTCCCGTGGAGTTTTTTGCTGAGTTCTCTGAGAGGGCGAAAGACACCCCTCAGGAGCCAGAGCCATCATAGGTAAGGGAAGAGGTGGCACCTGAGACATCTGACCCAGGATGGTCTGATTCTAGTGACAACATTACCAGCGCGGTAGGTGCATCAGCAACAGCTGACAAACCGCAACAAGATGGATGCTGAGGCTGTGGAGAAGCTGGTAGCGTTGTTCCGGATGACGGTCATGAGTCTCAGTGATGGCGAGATAGAATTATGTGCCAGACGCATGATGCATTGGATCGCAAGTCTGAAGACGAGCTCTGCTGACCGACACACTGTTTCGAACATAGCATGGAATCACCGTGACATTCTTGAGGCATCCGAGCCGGCTTCACAGAGTGGTCAGCGCGAGCGGATATGGCGCATGATAATCACAATGTGTAAACTGTAAAGTAATCACGCACAAAGTTCAAAAGGGGCCTCACAACTCACAAGGCAAAACTAACAAGCTGTAACACTTCAAGATCAGTGAGTTGACAATGTATTTCTTGGAGAGTTCCATTGGCGATGGGCCGATGGCTATCCGGTGACACACACACACACAACCTCAACGTTTCAGTTCACGTGACAACGCGCAAGCCATCAGCGTACAGCAAGGCGTCTTATCGACTAAACCGCCAATCAAAACCCGCCACAGTTGCAGCGCCGTCAAAGGCGGCAGCTGCCGCGTGGTGGGCCGCCGCCGCCGCCGCCCCCGCCACCACCACCGCCGCCGCCGCCGCAGCCGCAGCCGTCCCAGCTAAACGTGCACGAAACATAGGTGCACGAACTTTTCTTGGACGCGCTGGCCAGAGTGGAAGTAATATGTGATGTGCACCAAGACCTGGGCCTCCTGCTCTAATCACATATTATTTTAAGATTTAATTAGGCAGTGATTTGTTGGAGGGAAATTTTGTTTATTAATTGCGTATGTTTGTGTGTGTGTATGTATGTTGTTTGTTTGTTTGTTGGGGGTTAGGGGCGCGCCGACGGCGAGGCCATTTTGCGCCCATGTATGTATGTATGTATGTATGTATGTATGTATGTATGTATGTATGAGTGTGTGTCTGTGTGTGTTGTTTTTCTCGTTGTTATTGATCGTGCTGGGCGTGTTCAATTTCATAGTAAATATAGAACCCTGGTGATCAAGCTACAGTTTTTGAGGAGAAATAGATTAATGTGACACCATTTTGAAAGCGATCAGACGGTAGCGCCGCCGTTCTTTGGCACGCCTTACAATGCATCTGTGCTACACTAAAACAATTTAGGCTCGTGTCTTTCAAGGTCAGCAGGGTGGGAGCACCAGGTACCTCAAGTGACCTCGCCTCAGGTAAAGTTCTAATAGGTACTCGTTATATTACTGCCAACACACGTATCTAGTCTACAGGGTGTCCCATAAGTTCGTTCTCACCTTATATTTGCATGTAAAACAGAGTACATTGAGTTTTGATCAGTAGCGGCGGAACACCTTCAATTAAGGGGGGTGGGGGTGGACACTGCCGACTTTTGGTCCCATTCTTTCCATGCAACACCCATAGGACTAATGCTAAAATGCCAGAATTAAAGGGGGGCACGATGCCCCGGTGCCCTCCCCGTTCCGCCGCCTATGGTTTTGATATGTTTATGACCCCTCAATGTGCTCCCCATTTCATAGGCAAACACATGAATACACGCTGCGGCATGCCAACCGGCATGATCCATCAGACTGTCTCACCATCGATGAGACACTCGTGTCATATCGGGGCAGATGCCCGTTCAAGGTCTATATGCCGACGAAGCCTGGAAAATACGGCATGCTTGTGCGATCGGTGGCCGACGCCAGAAATAGATATATCTGGAAGCTGTGGCCCTACTCGGGGAAGCCTCAGTCACCCGAGACGTCTCCTCCAGGTGTCGTAATGGAGTCTGTGCCGCATCTGGTGCACTATCTGGTCGAATAAGTGAAGAACACGGGGAAAAACATCACCATGGACAGGTAAGATGGCAAATTCAATAATTACTAAATTATTCGACTTTTCGTAAAAATGTTTCATCAACAATGATTGTCAGAAAATGTAATATTTAGATACATTTTGACACAAAACGTGCAATGAATATAACGGTATAAATGTGTCCGATCGTAAGCAAAACGCCCATAAAGTGTTGATATAGTTATGAAGGAAAATGACCAAAACAGTGTTATTGCATGAAGGATGTGCTTTATTCAAGATTTCTGACAGTTTTTGTTACTTTTGCTTACAGGTATTTCACGTCCATCCCCCCGGTCGAGGAGTTAAGCGACCAGAAACGGCTGTCTTCTGTCGGCACACTGAACCGGAACAAGCGGCTCCTTCTCAAGGAGATGACGGACCCAACAGGTCGGGAGGCTGGAAGCAACAAGATCTGCTTCCGGAACGGGGTGCAGCTGGCCTCCCACTGCCCCAAGCCGGGGAAGGTAAGGCTGGTCGCCTCCACCCAGCACAAGATGCCAAAGGTCGACCAAATCAGCGGAAAGCCCGAAATTGTGCTATTCTATAATAGCACAAAGGGGGAGTGGACATATGTGACAATATCTTCGCTCACCATACGTGTGGCGCAGCAGTCCGCCGCTGGCCCACGCGGATGCTGTTTTTTATGCTGAGTGTGGCGTGCCTGAACGCTCATCAGCTGTTCACCATGCGTCATCCGGACAGTGATGACGCCGATCCGCGGCGTGGTAGACGAGTGCGATTTGTGCGGGCGTTGGGTGACCAGATGCTGGCGGAGCAGACGGAGCGTCGGGCCCTGCCCTGGAGCGCCCCCCCCCCCCCCTGTTGTCGTGCGACAACAGCTGCTGTCCTTAGCAGAGGGCAAGAAAGCTGCGCTCAAGAAAACTCTTCTGCTCCTGCCAAAAGACAGCACTGTGTGCCTCACCGTGGACCTCTGGAGCAGCCGGACACTTGTCGCCTTCTTTGACATGACGGCCCACTTTGTGGCCCTGGAGCCAGAGATCAAACTGGAGGCGCACCTGCTGGTCTTCAAGTAAGCAATGTGCACTGTTTCTTATTTCACATTTCAAGTATGTAATCTAAAATGGTAATTATGTAAAAATGATGGGTGTTTCAATTAAAAGGTTGAAAGTTGAGGATTTGTGATACACATTTAATCTGCCTTTCATTCATTCATAATTTCAAATTATAAATATATCATAAGGCCTTAGCTACCACTTTCAGGAAAGGTCAGCCCTACAAAACCTCTTTTAGCAGGTGTCTGTGTGTGGCCATTGGCTTGTGCGCTGATGCTGAAGTTTGTGCAAAATGCAAAATGGCAGCTACTTAGAAGTGCCATTTAGGGACAAACCTGACTGTGCAGCAGACTATCCGCAAGAATCATAAGACTAATTCCGAAAGCGGCCCGCGCGGTAGTGGTCAACAGCCTCTCGGAAAGAATGAATGTAGCAGTCTCCAGCTCAAGTCCTGACGCTTGGTGGCGCCTTTTCTCCTTCGCATATAGTGCTCTGGACGCCAACAACAAACGTAACTGCTCCTTAACAACACTCATTAAGCGACAGGTCACCGACGGAGCGTTGGTAACGCGGACCTTTGAAATGCAAGAGAGGTAGCCCCGCCTTGGCTACAGCTCTCCCAAGAATACGGCGCAAGCAGAAATCCAGCGCATCCTTCCGAGGATGATAAAATCGCCCGTCGGGTGTACGCGAAGTGCGCAGACGGCGACGTGGGAGCTGCACTCAGTATACCCACATCTAGCGAGTCCTTAGTGCAGCCCTCCGAAGAGGTCATCAGTTTGCTACGCCTCAAACACCCGAAGACATGCCACCGCCGCCATCTGCTACAGAGGCACCGCCGTTGACTGTAACGGAGAGCCAGGTCCGGCAGTCAATTCTCTCCATGCCGACGGGATCAGCTGCGGGTCTGGATGACATCAGGCCCCTTCACCTGCGGTAGCTAATCTCAGCAGAGGCGGGCGAGGCCGGTCAGCGCATGCTGACTTCACTTACCGCACTCATCAACCTGGTGTTGGCTGGTCAGTTAGCAGCATGTGCGCGGGACGCCCTCTACAGTGCATCTCTGTGCGCCTTCCGGAAGAAAGACGGAGGCCTGCGCCCGCTCACCGTCGGCAGCGCCTACCGCCGCCTACCAGCACGCATCGCCGCCCGCCTTAAAGCTGACCTGCCGGGTCCGGAACTGAGACCCGCTCAACTCGGTGTCGGCACGCCACTCGGCTGTGAGGCCGCGGTACACGCAGCAAGAAACTATACAAAAAGTTCACCAGATCAAACAGAAGCAACACGAGTGCTCCTCAAGGTAGACGTCAAAAACGCGTTTAATACTGTGAGACGTGACGCCGTGCTTCGATATCTGAACGACTGCTGCCCGGAGGTATATGCGATGGCCCATCAGGCGTATAGCACGCCCACTCCACTTATCTACGCTGGTCACAAAACCATGTCCTCAACGGGTGTCCAGCAAGGTGACCCGCTGGGCCCGCTCGCATTCGCGCTGACAGTCAACACGTGCGCACGCAGCCTCCAATCACCACTGAACATATGGTACCTTGACGATGCAACGACTGCAGGCCCAGTTGCTGACGTCATCTCTGTTGGGTTGTGGCTATGCGCCACATACTTCTGATCCGCGCAATGTTGCGATTGTTTTGTTTAGTGATGAGCCGTATTGTTGTTTGAACAGCTATGGCGTGGATCAACCATGGTCTACCTACGTTTGTTCAGAGACTGAGTTGGTGGAACGCCATTAGTTATTATTTCATAGTTAGAGCCAAGTGCACGTGTAGCATGAGGACCGGAGTTCAGTGGTTGGTTGGACGCCTTTGTTGGACGGTCCCTCACCACTAAGGTCCTTCTGTCCGGAATGGCCACCGCCATGCGTTCTTGTGTTGTTGTCGTGGAGCAATAAACGTTAGCCCGGAGCCCGCTGTGAGTAAGCTGGAGCTCGGTGACACACCGACACAACAATCTCTGACCTTCCAACAGTCACCAAGATGGTCCCAGATGTCGACCTCATTTTAAATCCTGCCAAATGTGAGGTGACAGTTTTAGACGACGCGGACGAGGATCAGCAAAAAAAAAAGTTGATCCAGCAAGTAAAGCGGGCTTTCCCCTTCTGGTGTTTCATGATGTCACAAATAAATGAGGTATTTGTCCAACGATACACGCCAACAAATGGGATTAATTAGCTCACCACTGGCTTAGCGCTTCATGATAGCTCACTCCTGCTTCATATAGTTCAAACTAGCTCATCTCTAATTGTCTCCAATCAGCTCACCCTGAGCTCACAGCTCCGAATTAGCTCACCATTGGCTCATAACTAAATAAATCTAACCACTGGCCCATAGCTCCACAAAGCTTTTAGCCGTAAATTAGCTCACCATTGGCTCATAGCTCCACAATAGTTCACATGATGGCTTTCAAACCGAATCGGTCTGATTCATGATCTCCACTTCCTAGCCCAAACCCAGTCTTACCGTATGAGTCACCGAGGCACAACATTAGTTATTGTGTGCAGACACTGTATGAAAATAGATCTTTATGGTCACCAATGTGTGTTGGTGTGCGAATGAAAACTCTCACTGAACTGACCCCCAACTTCGGTGTGTTTTACCTGATCCCCGGACCAAAGTGGTAGATTAGCTGATCTCGTCAGCCGCGCCGGTGGCATTTTCCGGCGCACTTCCCGCGCCACCACCGCCTCCGGCGTTGGCGGCGCGGTGATGGGAGAACCATCAGGCTCGCCACCACCGCCGAGTGCCGGACGTCTCTTCACATCCCCCTCGTCCTTTGCTAGTGTGTCACTGATCGGCCTTTTCAGGGCTGAGCCTGAACAACCCACCGATTCTGGCTCCGACTCCGCATCCTCCGACAAAGGTTTGTCCCCGTCGGTCTGGCTGAAGTCTCCACTGCAGCAGTCGATGTTGAAGACGCCGCTCCTGATGATGCCGCAGAGAGAGTAACCCGTCCGGGAGGAGTTGGAGGACAGGAGTCAGCGTGTGGAGGCGGTGACGGCCGTCTCTGGCGTGTCCGAGGAGTGGTTTGGATGGTCGTCAGCGGTCACAGACTGCAAACAGAGAGAAGGGGCGGGGTGTTATTGTCCCGACGTGCCCTGATGTGTCCAGAGATGATGCCCTTCCGAGAGATTGTGTGCTCTGATGATGAAGCTACATGCTATAGTTCGTTTTTTTTTTCTTCTAAGTTTGACCCCCACTGTAAACATCTTTTTGAACACGGCACGAGAATTGCTAGCTGAACTACTGAGAAAACTGGTCAGCGCACATTGATTTCAGGGACGATCAACCTGATCAAAATTAGTTCTACCTGACTCCATTTCTCAGACTCGTAGCTCGTATTTGGCCTTATTTATGACCCCACAGGGATAGAAGACTTGTCAGGAATTATTACTGAACTAATTAAGAAATCGCACGGCGTATAACATAACGATCCACCATCGGTGTTCAAACCATATTTTGAATATATCATTTATATCTTCCATACAATGTGCGCTATCCAGTTTTCTCAGTAATTCAGCTAGCAATTCTCGTGCTGTGTTCAAAAATATGTTTACAGTGAGGGTCAAACTTAGAAAAAAAAACGAACCATAATAAAACGAAAATATTGATAGGAATCCTACAAACATATGGAATGCGAAAAGATTTATTTCCGTTTTCCAACATAAAAAGTCCCGAACACGAACACATTTAACCTAACTCAGGAGTTGAAAGTCAGCATTCGATATGAATGACAGCATTTAAAAACGCTGATTCTTTAATCTTGAATAAAAACTGTCGCAATACGAAAAAAATCGTACAACACAACATCCCGTGGTTAGAATCGAACCCACTCACTCGCAGTAACTCACCTCATCGTCGCTGCCGCGCTCCGAGCCCAGCGAATCTCTGTCACTGTCCGAGTCATCGGGGTCGACCAGCACCTCCGCTCCGGGGAAAATGTACCGGGACGGCGTCTGGTGCAGATAGGTGCCCTCTGTTGAAGAGAAAAGGCGTCTTCATTGTCAATTATACAATGAGCAAAAGGCTATTACTTCATTATTTTTTAATCATAATGGGGCTCCACACAATTTTCAAAGAAACCCTCAGTATCATTCGACATAAAAGGCGTCCATCAGGAAAACATGTAGCGAGGAAATCACGTACCACCATGTTACACGCCAATACACATACAAATTAAAAGATGTTGATAGTGGGAGCCAATGACACTTGCAATCAATGCCGCGAATTTATTTCTGACGGGACGAACCAAGAGCACGGGGGAGCGAGCCGTTAACCACGGCCTTCCGCACGCCCGTGCCTCGACCGCCGGCCGCTGACCCCGCCCCGGGCCACGCGGCAGGGGCGGTGCCAGGCACGCCCCACCGGGAGGCGCCATGGGCGGCGCCAGGCACGCCCAGTCGGGAGGTGCCAGACTAATTAGGGCGGTCGAAGACGCCCGAATAAAATATCCTTCGATAAGTAACTCTCGCCAATCACGCGTAGATTGAAACGATTCAGCTAAAATTACACACCAATAACATAATGAACAAAAGCTAACAAATAGCCACATTGCTGGGAATTCAAACAGTCGAGAGTCTCGATTTCAATCGCGATGGTAAAATCTTAACACAGCAACACAGAACAAATATACTCAAATCCAGGACTATGGTGTGGCCAACAGCCTTTCAGTTGATTGCAAATAAACTGTTTTTTTTTTCTACCAACACAACAAGCCGGCTACCTATCCATCTAGACCGGTGGCGAGCTGCGCCCTACTCCAAAATCACTCTTAAAAATTCCGCCCCTCTTGGGATTCGAACCCGCACTCACTGGGTAGTCTGGCAGCGACGCTCTCCTTCAGTTTCCTCTGCCAGCAGTGCCGGAGGGCGTCTGTGTCGTTCTCGTTGGTCGGGTCGGCCGGCGGTGAGGACGGCGCAGATGGCGCGGGGCGAGAAGGTAGTTCAGTGAGCTCCCTCAGGGGCGGAGAGGACCCTCCTCCGTCATCGGTAAGGAGCCCGGAGCATTAGCCGCCGAGCCTGAGAGGGAAGGGGAATGAGCGTCAGTGTTTTTACGGCTATAGGTACTACTTAATTATCATTATGGATTAGCACTGAGCTGCAGGTGCAAGACCACTACCTGCAAGAACATAGGCAGCCACCCAGAGAAGCATGAAATGACCCTTATTGGCTTGCAGAGCCAGACCCCGCCACTCTCGGCCCGCCTCCCCGCCCAAGGAAGGAACGTTCGGCTCTTGTTCTACTAAACAAGCGTAATATTTGTTATTTTGACGTCCCGAATCGCTATTTAAGTTATTCAGGATGCCTATGAAGAAAATGCATTCCTCTGCTAGATTTAAAGCATGTCTTTTACTCTTTACAGCAAGACTACAATTACATTTGTTTGTTTGCTGGGGGTTAGGGGCGTGCCGACTGCAAGGTAAACTACAATTACACTTCAAAGTTCAAAGCCTTTTAGGTATTTTGTCAGTATTATAACTAAATGCCACTGCTATCATATTCGAATGACAATAATCATTACATTCAAAGTTTTCAAGTCAATTGTCAGTGTCATCAGCCCCATATGACTCTCCAGGACTCTAGTAGGTTAATTGCCCCATCACCCACCTTTAGCAGTTCCCTGAAGTACAGACTGCAGGCAGACAGCATCATCCTGTGGGCCCAGACACGCTGTCCCTCACAGCAGAGCGTGACGTCCAGCAGCTCCCCTCCGGAGCAGAGCTGGTCAAACACAGACGTGACGCTGTCCTGGAACCAGTCCCATTTGAGGCAGAACTTCTGAGAGTCCATCCTGGAGGGCTGAAGATCAGGGGCAAGGCAGCAATTGGTTAGTTCATGAGAGGTGATTTGTTCCATTCTGGTTTGTTCAGTTTGGTTCTGATTTGGTTCCTTGTGTGATCCTGGTATCCACTCTCAACCAATTCAAGACCAGACCGGACAATTACTGAAACTGAATCAGATACTCTATCCTAATTCCTAGATTAGCTTCCACGACAGTCCTCAGTTCAGGAGCTCAATGCCATAGGGACCCTACAGGCCTGAGGCCAATGGCCATGGTGGCCATCAAAATTCCTGTACTGGTAAGGTACCTGAAGTAAGAAGTAAAGCAAAAAAAAAAAACAGTTTTTATATACTAATACCGTGCTCTGGGTGTGCTTATATGTTTATGTAAAAACTAAAAAGCAAAACAACTGAGCTAGCATAGGTACCAGAGGGGTGTTCACGGGCACCGCAAACTGCTGAGTGCGGTGTGTGCGTTGTGGGCCGCAGGCGTGGGGGTAGGGGATGGCTTGGGGGATGGGTAGGTACCTAGGCGGTTCTAACGTCACAGCAGCGTGCGGTGGACAGTCCGCTGTGGCAGGTCCCGACCGGCCAGGAGCGGTGACGGAAGGCTGACATAGGGACACAGTGGGCGGAGCTTGGAGGCTGTGTACGGTCCGACCGCACACAGGAGCCCGTGAACAGCCCTCAGATATATATGACGCAACCGCGACATTTGCAGCGCAATTTGACGGATATTCCATGGGTTACCTTTGAATTTTAGCTGGTAAAAATTAACATACGGCTCGGAAATACGAACTGAGAAATAAAAAGACTCTTGCCATTCACAACAATCATCGAGAAACACCCACTACACCCACATACAACAATAACCACCAACACCCGAAAACCACTCAAAACGCACGTGAACGTTCAAAACAAGTTCAAAACGCGTTGTTAATGTTATCATCAACTTGGCATCAACCTAGCGTGAAATTTGCGTAAAATGCACATTGAATTTGTCAAACATAAATGACGTCATTGAAGACTATGCAAGGTTTCTTTTATGATTTGATGCCATTTGATCCATACTTCAAGTCAATGAGCAGCCATTCAATAAAAGAAAACTATATTAAAGTACATATGCCCTTTTAGAAATTGCAAAAGTTGTAATAGCATGTGCAATTTTGTCGTAAAACTTTTTGATAATTTTATTCATGGTAAATTTACAATCTTTCTTGTGATATTCCTGGTGAATTTTTTCATCCTTATTTTAAATTTTACTACATCATCTTGACAACATTACTGGATAATAAAGAAAATAGTAATGGAAGAGAGCATATTTACGTCTGGACAACGAGTTGCGTTGGAGAGGCCGGAAATAGTGGCGATTTCAGGACCGCAAGAATGGACCGTCATTGGAATGATTCTTTTTTAAACCGTGCATTGTTTTCGGCCGGAATTTAATAGTTGCTACAAAATATTTTGTAATTACGTTTCCACCAAGAATGAATGCCATCAGGGCTAAATTTTCAATATTATTGCATTTTGTCAAGAAACATATAGTGCTGTGATATTGCAGTTTTAGCGCGTTTGTTACAAAATATGAAGCGAATAAGCGTCAGTGTAATTCATCATCAACAGTGCCAGAAGTTTACTTGAGGGAAAGGTATGCTAATTGCTCTTGTCCATCCACTAAAATTTATTAAATATTTTGCTTTGTGTATTCCAAAAGGAGAGGGAACTATTTCATTTGTGCCTTCATGTCAGAATTGAAGGTGGATCATTAAATTTTCAACGCAGTTTACAAACAAGCATTTGGTCTTTCTCGTTTATAAGCAGTGGCTAAGAAAAGGTTGATCAATCCTGAAGTTCAGTCATCGTACCTCAACTTCGCAGCAAGATTCCCGAAGGACAGAGGATATATTGTATACATGTCCTGTAAATCAAAACAAACAAGCATTTGGTCTTTCTCGTATATAAGCAGTGGCTAAGAAAAGGTTGATCAATCCTGAAGTTCAGTCATCATACCTCAACTTGGCAGCAAGATCCCCCAAGGACGGAGGATATATTGTAAACCTGTCCTGTTAATCAAAACATTTTTGTGCCTTCAAAGGCTTAAGTTACCTGTGGTGTGTTCAGAGTTAGGCTATATGGCTGTTTTTGTTGTATGTTTATGTGGAGATTGAATATAACTGTGACCCTGTGCTTGTTTGTATACTTACGGTCAAACAGGGAACAGCACATTCACATAACATACTCACCTAGCACCTAACTCATAGCTGTACCCTGCAGGATCTGTACTTGTTCATGTCTCGAGCATTAACAAAGCACTGAAGTAGCTTAGTAATCATTTCCCATATTTTCTGAGCATCTAACATGACATACAGCAGTGCAGAGCAGCTTCAGAGAAGAAACACTTTAAATGCACAGACTCACGCCAGCCACCCAATGAGCCAGTTCCTCAGTTGACTGTTTCCCTGGACACAGCTTGGCAATGTGAGCTAACTTTTGGCAAGTTGAAGGTTAGCAGGTAAGATTGAGTTAGGGTGAGTACCTACCTATAACTGGGTGCTACTGCCATGCAGGTCTTGGGCAGGCTGCAAATATGTGTGATGATTGAGGTTAGGTCAGCTGTCAGGTTAGTCAGGTTCAGGTATGCTCATTGCTCAGGTCACATTTTTATGGACATTTGGCAAATTAAAAACTAACAACCTGATCTAAGCTAACCCGACTAAACATACACAACTACTGAGTACTGACTATAGGAACTGAGCACCTAACTACTTGTGCCTACATCTCATACCATGTCAAAGTAGAGTTCCTTGGTGGAAGATTACCCTCAGTACTTTTTATCCCAGCCCTGTGAAGAAAACTAATACTTCTAAGCTCTGAGTCACTGCTGGCCATCCACAGGAAGAAACGCTGAGACTGAGAGCTTTGCCATTGTATATTGGACCAATAATGACTATCTGAGCCCGATCAACTAGCGTTTATCAACCAAAATTTCTTGACTTGTTCAACTTGATATTGATATTGCTCAGTAGTCAGGACCTCTGTCAGCCTCCTGGATACTTCAGATTGTTTTCAGTCAACATGCTTCTTAAATATGATATAAGTCAATCTTAAGGGATTCAAAACATCCAACAAAACGACGTACAAGAGCAAGAAAACCACCAGATAAACTAAAAAATGGCCTTGGAACAGAGCCAAGTGGTGCTCCATTTGTTTGTTTACAATGATTGTAGTGATGATGTATTTTTAGGACTCTGAACGTCGGCTTATAAAAAAATAAAACGTTTTTACAAAAGATGTAAGGCAAGTAATATTTATCTGTAAGAACTTAAATGTTCAAAAGCCAAACACTATGAAATACATGAATCGGAACGAAAAAGTAACCCGAAAATCCAGCCTAATCACCGGCTCCTAAAACTGCAACACAATCAGCACTTTTCCCCGCAACTCGTTGTCCAGACGTAAATATGCTGGAAGAGAAAGGGAATCTTGCCTCAATAAATATTTGATTTATTTCTATGAAACCTTGAATGTATCTTCCGGTCCCAAGCAGAAGATGAATTGGAATGTAAACAGCAACAAACAAGAAGCAGGAAGTGGCAGGAAATGGAAATATATGGCTTTGGGCAGGAAGCCAAGAAGAGGCTTTTGAAACATAGGGTATAATTAAATTAGATCGCTTGGATCTATATTGGAAAGCAACAGATTGATATTTAAGCTCCTATAATATCGCGATTGTGTTGTTTTTGCCCTTGCTTGCTGCTGCGACCGTTGATTTATATCGTAAGATGGAAGTCGAAGATGGGAAGTTTAGACACATACGACAGTTTTTTGCCGAGGACGCCTGGGAAGCCCTAAGTGATCTCGAGAAGCAAGTTTATTGTAACATGAAGTCCAACTATGACAAGTTATCTGAACTCGGTGAGTCAGAGCTACCCATTTTTTTACGTTTTTATATGTTTAACCCTCGCCCGTATTGGTGTTTTTCCAGCCGCGAACGTATAAGGGGGGGGGGAACGGACCCCCCCCCCCTTACCGTTTCGCCCCTGATTGAGCTAGAGCTTCGCGGAAAAAACGAGCGTGCTGCCCGTGACGAGAGGAAGCCGATGATACCTAATTTTAAGGTCCTAGGTCATTGGTTGACCTTGCAGATCAGGTCAATGACCCAAAAGTCGGGAAAATCGGGACCTGTTAGAACGTCGTAAAGTGTGGCTGCTATGGGGTTCTTCGGGGTGCTGATCACGAATATCATGTTAGTTTTGATCACAGATGATGTCTTCATGCATTTAGTCGGAGTCCAGGTCGGGTCAGGTCAGGTCAGGTCAACCAGTAGGGGTCCTGCCGGGTATTCCTAGTAGGTGTCAACCGCCCTTCGTAACATGTTACGAAGGCACCAAAACTACTTCGTAAATGTTCATATGGTTGCTAAATTCGAATTCAGCTCCAAAAACTGGCCTAGAAACATGTAAAACTCGAATAAGTGAAGTGTGAACCGAGGTCATCGAAGGTCAATGACCTGACCTGACCTTCAGGTGACCTTGATACCCACCCTTATGCATGGGGGCAACATCACATCACATGTTTGAACGCTTGAAACCACGAAAAGACTGCAAGCGCGCGGCTAATGCGAGCCGACATACGCCGAATCGGGATCCGGCCAAACATAGTCTTGAAAAGTAGGTCACAGGTCAAAGGTCATTGGGGTCAGGGTCATGAAATTTTCAGGGTAGGTGTAAAATTGATTAACGCGAGGGTACTGAAAGTTTCGTCGCGATCGGCCGCTTTTTACGCGAGTTATTAGTTAGTTAATAGTTATTATGCTATGGCCCGGCGAAAAAAGTGGGGGCTTTTAACGCCCCCCCCCCCCCCCAGCAACTCGCGGGTTAATAGGGCTATCGAATGCGCTTTTCTGCGGCGCTTTAGCTCGATTGGTTCCCGAGTTATGCGTTGGCTTCCTGGAAATTGTCGACATTCGACCTGAAAATCGGCGAAATTTTGCCTTCAATGACCTCTGGTGACCTGACATTTGACCTGACCAAAAAAGTAACCGAAGTGATTTCGTCATTATCTTTGGCGCTCTTTCGAACGCCGCTTTTCGCGTATCGCTACGTGGCCCAGGAGCCGAGTTAGAGGGGGGGGGGTGTTCAACCCCCCCCCCAGCAGGGCGTGGAAATCCAGGACCCCCAGCCGGGCCGCGAGTTACCTAAGTGTGGAACTACAAGTCGATTCTAGGGCTCTGATTGGTGACTTTGGTCGGGGGATGACGCTTATAGCATGACGTCACTCGCGTACTTGGCCGGACCAACGGCGCAGCGCAGGCCCGCCGAGCCAACCCAGAGGCTCTCAAACTCAATTGTACAGATCCTGCGCATTGAATGGCGAAACCACAGTGTATATAAATAGGCGAAACTTCGGCGAGTTCGCTTGAGTTTGGAAGCCCCTGCCAGAGAACTGGAGGCGGCCGGATTATTTGCTGGACAGTGGGCAGCGCAGATGGCGATTGAAGGTGCCAAAAAGATGATAGGGAAAAAGGACTTGAGCAGTGAATTATTAGCTTGTTGCATAGCTGAGTGGTAAATTGTAAAATACTTAGGGTTTGAAGGGATGCAGTGTAGTTTAGCCGACTCAGGGGCATTCTGCCGAGTTATGTTATGTAAGGCGGAAGGGTCGCAACTCGCAAGTCGTTTGTTTCCATGATTGCCTGATAAAAAATGTAAAGCGTACCTAATGTGTAGTTGATAATACAGCGAGGTTGGGCATCTGCTCAATCCATTTCTTCTCTGCAATAGTGCATTCGCCACTGTAATTCATTGTAAGAGGCACTGGGCTGCCTGTTAATTATTCCGAAACCACCAGTGAATTCATTTGCTGTTGTCACAGTCACTCACAACAATAGGTATACGAATCGTTCAGCCGTGCGCTGGG